CCTTTCCAGAGCCGAGAGAAGAGTCTGGAAGAGTTGAGGCTGACAAACGCGAGAAGGGATCGGGTCGGCTGGGCTCGGAGCGTGTCTGACAGCGCCGGCTGTCCGCGTAGCTGAGGCTCCTCGGCGGACCGGCCGGCGCCGGTCCAGCTGCTGCGGACACGCTCGGCGGTCTCTGGCCGGGTCTGCGAGCGCCCGGCTCCCTCTCGGGAGCTGGCTGGGGGCTTCTTCTGGAGCCGGGTGGGCTTCTCCTCGCCTCTTCGGTAGCTAGCTCCACGCTCTCCTTTATGCAAATTCACAGTGTGGTGTGAGAGGGGGATACGATTGGTTGTGGTGACCAGAACACTGGCAGAGGGAGAATAAAGCCCCTTCGGGTGGTGAGGAAGCCTCGCTGTAAGGCGTTTCTGTGGCTGGGACATGCAGAGGGCTTGGAGACCTCCTGGCACAGGAACTATCTGGCAAGGCCTCCTCCTGCATTATTCCAACTCCAGCACCACAGTTGGCATTTACCGTCCACTCTGGCTTGGAAAGACTTTACTCTGTTAACCCCATGGCATTGCATGCTTCTACGAGATGCACTCTTGCCCCTGTCCTAACCTGCTACATGTCGTCTCCGTGGGCTGTTTCTCAGCTGCCCTCCTCCCCTCCTGCAGCAGCCACAGTTCCAGCGCTCCAGAGCTGGTCAGTTCAGGCATGGGCAGGGTATCCACAAACCAGTTTTCCTTGAAGGTGAAGGGGGCAGAGTGAGTTCCAAATATGTGTCTTCGCTTGAGATGCCGGGCAACCTCTTGGCGTATTCAGAGGAGCAAAGGATTAGGGAGGACAAAGCTAATATGGATCTTAGATTTGTCCCTTAGAGAAAGTGATGTAACTCGTCAGTTAGACACCTGGGGGAGGTGGGTAGCAAGGGAGTGAAAATTAGTCTGAATTATTCTGCCCTGAGTGGAGGATTCTAAAGGAGAAGATCAATCAAAAGTTGAATCCCACTCTTCAGCCCAGTCCCTCAGTTCTTTGGAGGAGAGTTCCTGTGCTTTATCGGGGACAGCCTTGAGGAGAATGGGTCTGGGTTTCGTTTCTCCTCTTGGATGTCTTATTCCCCTGAGTGCATCTTTCTTTTCTCTTCCTAGGAGCCCTGAGTTTATTGGTGATCTCTTTTTCCTTTATCTCTCCGCTGGTCCACTCATACTTTGAGTCAAATAAGATTTTTACTTTGCCAAAGTCCTCATTTTTTTTCTAATCTATTATTCAACCTGCTGTCATTTGTTCAGCTCTGCCTCCCCATAGTGTCTCTAGCCATAACGTCCTCCTTCCACACATCTGTGATTCGCCTGTGCCGGCGCATCAGCTCTGTTTGTCTCGTTAGATCGAGAGCCCGCTCCATCTTCAGTTTCCTCTCTCATCCCCTGAGGCTTCTGGCTCTTTGTGGGTCTTGGGGTTTCTGAGGGGAAGTTGTATTTGAGTTCCGTCTGGGATAGAGCCCGAGCAGACCCAGCAGCTAACTTCGGGGCACACTCACCCTGGAAACTTTGTGTCTTCTCACTCCTTGTCGCTCCTCTAATCAATTCTAACTGTTCCTCATCTTTGTACAATGGTGGCCTTCAAAGTGTGGTCCCCGGACCCGTAGCTTTAGTATGATCTGGGAACAGCTTAGAAATGCAAATTCCCTGGCCCCACCCCAGAGCTACTGAACAGAGACTCTGGGGGACAGGGCCCAGTGAGCTGTGTTTTAACAGCCTTCCAGGTAACTGCGGTTCAGGCAAGTTTGAGACTCTCTGGTCCTGACCTGTACAGCTCAACCCAGACAGTCCTCCCGCTGAGGAGCAGAGGGTCTTCTCCGATCCCATTTTCATTCTTTCCTTGAGTTTTTCTCTAGTCCTAAGAAAGACGTTAATTTGATGGCCAAAAAATGAATTCTGGTCCATTCATTCAATATGTCTTTATTGAATATCTATTGTACTGGGCTTGAAAAACCCAAACAGGAGTAAGACACAGCCCTTGTCCTTAATGGGTTAAAAGTGGAACAGGCGGAGAGACACATAAACAAGTAACTATAATACAATGTGATAAGTGCGCTAATAGCTGCCTGCTGAAGTGCTGTGGGAGCACAGAGGAGGGGATGATCAACTCTCTCCGAGGGAGGTAGAGAATTAATCAGGAACAGGATGTGGCGAGAGGAGGAATTAGGGTACATGACAGGCTCTAGCCCAGGGGATAGGATTTCTAGCTTTACACGCTGGCTAAATCGGTGGGAAGGGGAAGCGAGGCAGCTGCCCCTGAGGGTCGGCACGCGGCTGAACAGAGTCTGCATCCCGCGGCGCTTGGGCGTAAAATCTAGCAGGACCCCAGGCTTGCAGCTGGCAGGATTGGCTTTATTCTAGCAGGACCAATGTAAGCTCCTTGGGCCTGGCCTCGAGGTCAGTGGCTAAGAATAAGGTGCTGGTGAAACGGTAATCTGGATTAGCTGCTGGCCCGCCCTATTGCCAGAGTTCAGGAATCCACAGAGAATAAGATTGATGATTCTCCAGCACAGAGAGAGACAGGGGGTCCTGGGGCTGGGGGGTGGGGGGGCAGGCCAATTAAGGAAATGTGAGCATGGAGACCCGGGTCATAGTGAGGAGAAACCAGAGCAGATCTATGTAAAGAAACTCAAGTGGGAAACTCCAGGAATCTGGAGACGGCGCAGGGAATGTGGAGAACACAGCATATTGTCCAGAAGCTCATGGGGCTGCAGAACCCAAATGTTTGAAAACCAAAGCTCAGAGGCCCTCAGAACCCCAGAGAGCACAGTTCATGTGCGAGTCCGTGGGAATAAACTCCTTGGAGTCCCAACCTGGTGGTCCTGTGGGGCTCTGTGATCTCAAGACACCAGTGCTATTTTCGTTCCTTGTCTGTATGATGTCAGGCATCCCTGGAAACTCAGGGCACAAAGTATGTATAATTTGGTCAGTGGAGCATTTAAGTGGCTGAATTTTCATTTGGGAGAAGGGGAGGTTCCAGCTTCATACGTTCTCCCCCAAATTATAGGATCCAAGGAGAGGCACTAGCAGCCAGACCTCGCTGGGAGGTCTAGATCCTGTGCCTGGGCCCCACTAGGTCCCGTGGGACAACCAAGTTGGATCACCAAAAAGATGCCAAAGCGGCACACGTTCAGGTTTTATGCAGCTTATGGGGGCCCCAGGGACACACAGTAGTTTGGAGACACAGTCAGAAAATCTGTTTCTTTAAGTTTCTGCTCTTTGTGGAGTACAAAGTTATAAAGCAGGGTTCGAAAACCTCAGATGCCTTCGGGGCCAGGCAGGTAACAGAAATATGTGACGTGGCTGGGGAGGAGACAAAAGGGAATGGTGGGGCTTGTAGAGAAATGGAAGGCACAGGCCCACCTAAAGGAATCCAAAAGCAGTTATTTTTAAACAGCTTATTGGCCACGCTCCTGGGGGCCAGGCTCCATAGGTTTGTGACTCCTGATAAAAGGAAAGTGGTCATGGAAACAAGGTCAGGGGGCGTTGTATCTAGAAGTTCTAGTGGGGAGGTCTGTGCAGGGAGAGTGTGAGTGCTGGAAATGTCCATCCCAGAGCTTGGTGTGAGCATGGCTGCTGGTAAGGGAGCCTTAATCTGAAGGGTGGACAGAAATGGAGTAGAACTGGTCCTGGGGCTTGGGCTGCTTCCCTGTCCAGCGGTGACTCTGGTTCAGGTCACGCCTTGCCCAAAGTGCCCTTTGCTCAGGGTGATTCAACTCTGCCCTAGAATTTATTTTTATGTAAATATTTACAGAGCAAATTCAAAGAATCTTTTGGGGACTAGGGGAAATGATGGATTGTAAATGAGACAGGAGTCCTAGGCCCAGTGGAAATTAAGTCCTCTTTCCTATTCTAGGGGATGGAGAGCCTAAATCTAGGAACCTCAGATCTTAGCTCCCTCGCACCTCATCAGTGCAGGGAAATCCTTGTGTCTGTTTTCTCTTTGGGAGAAAGAGGAGGGCAGACAATCCTGGCCTTCTCGTGGGTCAGGTTCAGCTTCATGGAACAAGTTAATGACAGAAGCCAAGTTCTGCCTTTGTGTGCCCATGAGAACACACCTCCCTACCCACCTACATCTCACTACCCATCCCTTTTTCCTTCCCCCAAAACCACACGGGAGGCTCTCTGTACCTCCTTTCCAGAGCCAGAGACTGCAAAGGTCATAGCCCCATCCTAGGAAGTAGTGCTAAGAAGTAAATCTCTTTTATTTGAGGGGTACTAGGAAAATGAGAAATGGAGAATTCGGGGTTCCGATAAAGTTAAAGACCCAGCCCCCTCCATTCCCTTGAATGGCTGCTGAATGCTGAGTTACACGAGACCTTTGGACAGTAGAGGTATTTTAAAAATCCCCAGCGGCTAATCTGAAGCTCATTTGTTAGTTTTGAGAAGGACAGAGTTTGTTTGCATAACATAGAGTTGTAAGTAATGCTGTGAGCATGCGTGGTCCTAACCCCTAGCCTGGGCCCTAGAAGGGAGCCATGAGTGCGGATCTTTCCTGGGGAGTGTGAAGAGCTCCAGAAAGTTTGAGGAACGTGTAAATGTTCTGATTAAGAGCTCGAGAGAAAGAACCTGGCTTCAAAACCCAGCTTTGCTCCTTCCAACTGTGTGATCTTAAACGGTGACTTAACTTTCACAGTACAGCTTCCTCATCTATGAGATGGGGATGATGATGGACCCTGCCCCACAGCGGGTTGGGATGAGGTGATGCATTTAAATGGCGAGGACCCATATCACAGCCAACTTTGTGTGTGTGTATGAGGAAGATTGGCCCTGAGCTAATATCTGTTGCCAATCTTCCTCTTTTTGCTTGAGGAAGATTGTCGCTGAGCTAACATTTGTGCCTGTCTTCCTCTATTTTGTATGTGGGACACCGCCACAGCATGCCTTGGTGAGCGGTGTGTTGGTCCGCACCTGGGATCCGAACCCATGAACCCTGGGCCGCCGAAGTGGAGCGCGAACTTAACCACTACGCCACCGGGCGGGCCCTCACAGCCGACATTTATCGAGCACCTATTAAGTATTCCCTGTAGCAAACAAAAGGAAACAAAGGGAAGAGAAGCGTTGTGTGTCCTCCTTTGAACTCCAGGCACTTCACTCACATTCACTCAGCAGAGCATCGCAGTCTTCCTGATGTATCATAGATGTATCTTTGCTCCAGAGCAGGATCTGGGTCTTCTCATCTCAAATTGCCTACAGGGTAAGGGAGGCCGTCTTGTATGGAGGAGGGGCTCAGAACAGTTTGTGGAACTGGGGAATAAAAGAATTCCAGTTTATACTCAGTCTTGCCCAGGGGGTCCCACGCCTGCCTCCTGCGTCACCCTGGTTTACCCACTGCTATCCTGAACCATGCTGATGGGCATCGCCACTTCCAGCCCCCCTGCTCTGCCTGCTGTCCCTCTCTGGCCTGAGGCCCTGGAGCCCTTTCTGTCTACTGCATCGCTCTGAGACACTGCTGCCTTCCTGCCTCACTCCATGTGCATCTGTTGTATTTCTGTCCCCCTCCTTCCCCACCATGGCTTTCCCTCTCCCACGGGGAGCTGATTTCCATTGACCAAAAAACCCAACCGTAACCTTTGGCCATCAGGAGAGCCGAGATCTAGGCAGGAGGATAGAAGGACATGGTGAGTGGTGGGCTCAGTGGCCCTGAGATGCCCCTCACCAGCCACATTCCCCCTTGCAGGAGCGGGAGGCCATTCTCCACCATGAGCAGCACCCTGTCACCCACAGACTTCGACAGCTTGGAGATCCAGGGCCAGTACAGCGATATCAACAACCGCTGGGACCTGCCCGACTCGGACTGGGACAATGACAGCAGCTCGGCCCGCCTCTTTGAGAGGTCTCGCATTAAGGCCCTGGCAGGTGAGGTCAGGGGAGAGCCGAGGGTATGCTGAGGGGGCTGAGGGGAGAAGCTTGTCGTGAAGAGTCCTTTAACTTCATGGGAAGACCACATTTCTTTCTAAGCTGCTGCTCTAGAGTGGGAAATCCAGATTCCCCTATCAAGCCCCGGCTCCCCAGCTCCAGCCTTAAGAGCAAACTTTGTGCAATCCAGAACATTTCCCCAGCTTCCCTTCCGCTAAGCAGAGAGAAGCCTTGCTGACCCCGGACTCAGCTGGGTTCCCTCTGCACTTACTGACTTCCAGGTTTCTGTTCCTGAGTCGCATTCTGTAGCACTTTGGCACTTGTCCTCTTGCTATTCTGTTTCCGCCTGCCTGTCCCTAACCTTTCATCCCCTTGTTCTTCCTGGATTCCCACTGTCATCTCTCACACCTGTTCTCCCTCCAGGGCCATTATCCTCTCCTCTCCCTCCCCACCTGTTCCTTCCACCTGCCACCTGTCCCATTATTTCATCTACCTGTTCCCTGAAGCAGGTTCCCTCCGCAGCCGCCCATTCTCCTGGGTTTGCTCTCTGCCTGCCTCGGCCCCTGCCCTCCCCTACGGCCTGGGCTCTCCCCTTCTGCTCCTCTGAGCACAAACAAACCCGTCTGACCGGGCCTCCCTGCGTTCCGGGAGGAGTTGTCATGGCAACAAGAGTGGGGCTGCCACCTGACACCACCAGCGGATGGCGTGGGGCTGAGTCACCCACACACCCCAAGGCCACCCACCCCGTCTGGCTTCCCTCCTCCATCCCACCCTTGTCTTTCTCACTGACCTGCCGGCCTCCCAGACCAGCGCAGTGGGAGAGGTCACAATTACGCCCTCCTGAGAGGCGGTGCTCCCAGGGTGGGTGGGGTGGCCTCCTGGAAGAAGGGAGACTCTGAGGAGGGTGGTTCCCAAACCTAGCCACACTTTTTACAGGATCACTCAGGGACATTTTTACAAATACAGGCTCCCAACCCCTTCCTGGACACACTGAATTAGAATCTTTGGACATATGGTCCAGAAATCAGCATTTTTAAGCTTTCCTGGTAATTCTTTTCAGCCAGCCCAGCACCAGTCCGAGGACCACCTCATGGTGCCCATAGCTCTGGGGGTCCCTTATCATTTTCCCCTGGGCTTCTCTGTCCTTCTGGCTGGGCCTTCAGGCTGGCTTGTGAAATACTCGCATCAGCATTTCTATAGATGAGAGAAAATGGAAGACATGGGTTATAGAGAATGGCACCTCTTTGGGGAAAAGAGCCCCTGGTACCCTGGTTTTGGTGCGTGTAGCCTCCAGAACTGTTGTGATGGCCGTGTGTACATACACGTGATCCCCAGGACCGTTGTGATGTCTGTATACACGACACGTGCCACCTCGTGCTGTCATTAGATGTTTATCTCTACCACTACACTGGGCTCTCCTGAAGGGGCCTCGCTGTACGGGTTTTGCCTTGCACAGCGCCTCACATCAGTAGGTGCCAAATAAATGCTGAATGAATAAAGATGGTGGATGGCAAGAGTAGGCTGTAAGTGACGAGAGCTGAAGCCCAGAGAGAGGTAGGAGGGAATCTGGCAGATGTGCCCAGCAGTGGGTATACTGGGGGCCTGGGGTGGCCTGGCTGAGGAGGGCCTGGTGGGCCCAGTGGCAGGGAAGGGGCCAGACTGGAGGTGATGATGACAAGCAGGTGGGGAGGATGGCACCACCTATTTCACAGGTGAGGGACCGTAAGCAAACACCTAGCACGACGCTTGGCATGTGCTGAGCTGGCTTTTCCTCTCCAAGGATTTTTCTTTCTCTGCTCTCCAAGCTGGAGATTAAAACCCATGTCCTGAAGCGGGACCTCCCAGAGTCACCCAGAGAGGGGCCATCCTTGTCATACTTGCAAACCTTCGGGAAGTAGAACTGCCTTTGGGGAGACCTCTCTCTGGTCTTCTGAACTCTTAGGCAGTTTGGGGCCTGATGGGCAGGTCTCTAAGGCACTTGCAGTTCCCTCCTCTGCCCCACAGGGCCTGGCCCTGCCCCAGCAGGCTGAGCTCCGCCCCCCACCCCTCCCCCGCCACTGTCCGACCTGTTTGTCTGGAGCTGCCTCTGTCTCCTCTCACCACAGCCAGGTGTGCCCTGCTGACTTGTCCCGGAGCTTGGGAGCTCAGACATCCTGTAACTCCTTTCTCCCACTCCTTGAAACTTCCACCAGCCTTGAACCACCCCCCGCCCAGGACCCCAGCCTCTTGGGATCCCAGGCTCCAGGGGGAGGAGAACCTTGCTGCCCGGCCCCAGCGCGGGCAGAGCATGGACTCTGGGACCTGGGCCGTTGAGAGGCAGCAGACACCATGAGTGTGAACGGAGTGAGCAGGGTGCACGGGCACGGCCTGAACGGGGCTGGTGAGTTTTACTATGAGGCTGTGGAAGGGTCTCAGAACCCCGGGGGCCTCCTGCTCTCACCAGCTGCCTTCATCGACCCCGCTCAGTATGCCAGCGTGCTGGAAGGACGCTTCAAACAGCTTCAAGGTGAGCTCAGCGGGCAGAAGGAAGCGCTGTGCCCAGGGAGGGGGCCTGGGGGCGTGGGAGAGGAGCCAGAGCCAAGGACACACGGAGTGGAGCATTTTCTATGACTCAGACGTTTGTGTTGGGAGACAATGGGCAAGGGGAATAATTACAAGTGGCCAGAAAATATATGGATGCTGACAGAATTGGGAAAAGCTTGGACCCACTGGAAGGGACCGTGAGAGAGCGTGAGTGGGTGTGACCACAGGCCCGCTGGGAGCGGCAGAACGTGTGTGTTGCAGCGAATGCTATGAGCATGGAGGCAGCGGGCGAGGCTGTGCAAAGCAGCATGTGTGTCAGCTAATGAGGCCTTTTGCGCAGTCTCACTGAGGCAGCTCGCTGTCGGTGCGTTCAGAGATGGAGCTCCTGCTTGCATAGTTGGAGCAGGAGAGAGGGGAGCGAGCCAGGAGGCTGAGGCACCCGGGGCTTGTTTGTGTTGCCCTGGGTTTCTGAGTGGGTGTCTAACTGTGTGTGAGGAGACAGTGTGTGTGGAAACGGAGTGTGTCAAGGGGAGTTGGTGCAACAGGCTCAGGTGTATCTCTGAGCAGGCGTGTGTTCATCCGGCACCAATATTGCAGTGTATTTCTGAGAGTCACTGTGTTTTGTGTGTGTGTGTGTCTGTGGAAGTTGTGGATGCTGTGTGAAGCTACACTTTGTCTCTGGTGCTTGGCTTTGTGCAGTTCCCCCCAGCTGCCCCTATGTCCACCCCTCCCCTTTTATTGTACCTGTGTGCCAAAATGGCCTCACCCTAGTGTGCCTGGCATTGGGGCAGGCCTCCTGGATCCAGTAATCGCTATGATCTGGGCAATCCCAGCTCGGGCTGTAGACCCTGAAGGGAGGCCCAAAGGCACCCTTGGTTCGCGGGATGTCCTGTGCAGTTGTTAGGACCCTGAGCTTGGCCCAGGTATAGGGGTTGGAGGCAGCAGAGACAGGAATAGACATGGGTGTGTCGCCAGGTTTTATGGGTGAGGTGCCCAGGAATGTGAGATTAAGGGATGAGTCTTTTCGGTTTCGGAGATGCTGGTGCTGAGAAGGAAACAAAAAGTGACTCTTCAGGCCCCGGCCACTTGGGTGGGGTCCTCGCCCTGGGCTCCTCTGCGGGGGAACAGCTTCCAATGGCCTGAGCCTCCTCCCTCCCTTTCTCATTTATAACATTTTTAATTTTAATTTTTTGTGGGACCTGCCAGCATCCCCTCAGCGGTAGCTCCCCCTGTGAACCAGGCAGCAGGGCATTTCCCCACTTTTTTTGAGATTGGTGCCTAATTCTGCCTGGCCTTCCCCGCCCCCCGTGTTTCTTGGGCTTATTGTTTTCCCTGTTCCCAACTTTCAAGGTCTCGTTTCTTTTCTTAGCGTTGGAATGTTGGTGTCCTGGGAATGGATCCCCTTGCAGCCCATTGAATGAACCCACCCCACAAGTAGAGGAACCCATCTTTTCTTTAAAAAATGATCCCAGGAGAGCCAGCTGCCCGAGGAGGCCTGCGGCCTCTGTCACGTCACATCCTCCTAATGACCCCTTGGAAGAGCCACTGCTGTAATTTCAGTCCACACCCTCCCCTTTGTCCACCACTCAAAGAGAACAGCCATGCCTCCTGCTTGACCTGAGCACCTCTGGCTCTTTGCTTTGGGTTAGTTCACGCCTGGACAATCATAACTCATCAAGGAGCCACTTCCTGCCAGGCGTCTTACACACGTTGTCTCATTTAATCACCACAGTGACCTGCTGAAGTAGAAAGTAATGTGCCCGTTTGACAGATGAGGAAAGTGAGGCCCTGACGGGTGAAGTAATAGCGTTTCACCCCTGTTACGTGACAGGGCCCTGATCCCAGATCGCAGCCCTTCCCTGCATGTCCCGCGCTTCTAATTTCTTTCATCCTTCTTCTCAAACCTGTTTTCTAGCTCTCATTTTTGTTTTTTACCTTGCTTATGAGCTCATTCCAATTTCTTTATTTCCCAGCTTTTTAAGTTATGGGGTTTCCTCTTGGCCGTTTTCCTTCCCCTCCTCCTCCCCGGACCTGACTTCCGGCCTCTCAGGCACCCCCTCATCCCCCCAACCCCACCAAGTGGTGGTTAGAAGCAGGGGCACTGCTCATGAAGGACAGAAATGACCCCATGTTGCTGCCACAGATGAGCGAGAAGCTGTGCAGAAGAAGACTTTCACCAAGTGGGTGAACTCGCACCTGGCCCGGGTGACGTGCCGGGTGGGGGACCTGTACAGCGACCTCCGGGATGGACGGAACCTCCTGAGGCTCCTCGAGGTGCTCTCAGGAGAGACACTGGTGAGCTGTGGTCCTGAGGGAGGAGGGAGCCTGAGAAACAGCGGTGAAGGGGACAAGCCATAGGAGTCGCCCTTAGAGAGAAGAGCGACACCACAGAGCGGAAAGCAGTGGCTGCCCTCTGCTCAGAGGATGGTTTCATTTTGAGAAGTTTTGCCATGTGGATTAAATAGGAGCACTGCCTCATGGAGACAGGAACAGTGGCCCCATTGAAAACATTTCTTTTCCCACCCACTCTGAGTGCCATTAATTCCCTTGGGAATCTTAATCTGCTCCAAGCCTCATCTATAACCGCAGCTTTGGCTCCATGAACTCTGGCACAGCCCTGGGGCTGTCCCTGTGCTCCCGAGGGAGCTCATGGGGAAGGTGTGCGAAGCAGGGCCCCGGGAAGGCTAGGAGGGAAGGAGGAGGCCCACGGTCCCATGCCTTTGTGTCCCCTGTCCCCCCACAGCCAAAGCCCACCAAAGGCCGCATGCGGATCCACTGCCTGGAGAACGTGGACAAGGCCCTGCAGTTCCTGAAGGAGCAGAAAGTGCACTTGGAAAATATGGGCTCCCATGACATCGTGGACGGAAACCACCGGCTGACCCTTGGGCTGGTCTGGACCATCATCCTTCGGTTCCAGGTACCCCGGCAAAGCGTTACTCGGAGTGTGCGCTGCACACCGGTGCTGCGCCTCAAACAGCCACTGCTGGTCCAAGGCAAGATCGATACCAGAATGGAGGGTCTAGAACCTTGTGTAGCAATTTGTGGTTGCTGCGGATCAATTAAGCGGGGTGGAGACCAGTGTGGATGTTGTCAAACTTCTCTGGCAAACTCCCTGTGGCCTGATCTGTGTGCTGGTCCTGCGCTGTGGGACCACATGTTGGTCCACAACTGTCACAAACTGGTCCTTCACCACTGGGAGTTTGAGAACTGCATTCACAGTCTGGTCGGCCCACTCTTCTTCAAATTCTCCTACCTTCCTCAAGAGAACAGCCACCCTACTTCTTATGCACAGAGCATAGCCAGTCCACTGTCCTCATTCCATCACAGCTCTCCTGATTGCCCCGCTTCCTCCCCACGTGTAACCTCCTCTGCTCCTTCCAGCCCTGAGCAGAGCTCCATCAGCTTCATGTCTGAAACCTAGCTCTCGGGGAATGTTCCCTCATCCTCCTGCACTTCCCCACCTGGAGGAATCAGCATCCTTTGCTTCAAAGCGCTCCCACTCTTCTGGCTTCCTACCCCATTCTACTGCCTCAGATCCCTTTGACCTGATTTTTGGGGTCACTGGCCCTGTATGAAAGGTCCCCAGGCTCTGCCCCTGCACCCCGATTACAGGAGTCTAAAGAGCGGTTTCCTGCCGTGTATCTCAGAACTGTCCAGGGAGTGAGGGCCTTCCTTCATTCTTAGATCCAAGACATCAGTGTGGAAACCGAAGACAACAAGGAGAAGAAGTCAGCCAAGGATGCCCTGCTGCTGTGGTGCCAGATGAAGACTGCAGGGTGAGGCTGCCCAGGGAGCGTGGCCTTGGAGGGTGGATGCACCGAGGCCATGCGGTAAAGGAAGGACGGGCTCCACAAGCTGGGGATCCGTCCTTGAGTCGCGGACTGGGACTTGACCCAACTCTCTGTTTTTCCTGGTCCCTGTCTATAGGTATCCCAACGTCAACGTGCACAACTTCACCACCAGCTGGAGAGATGGGCTGGCCTTCAACGCCATTGTACATAAACACCGGTGAGAAGACGAGAAGATGGGGTTAGCTAGCCTGGCGGGACTGCTGGAGGGGTTAAGGAGCCAGGGGCAAGCACACGTGTAAACAAAGCAGTGAGACAAGCTACACAGCACTTATGAAGGATGAACGTTCGGAGAAGAGCCAGGATGTGGGGGCGCCGTCCTGCACACAGGGCTTGCAATAGGAAGCGAGGGGACAGGAGCAGTGGGTGTGGGCTTGAGCGGCCTAGTTCTCGACAAAATAGAGTTGGTGACTTAGGGATAAAGATAGGGGTGGCTTTACTTTTCCTCTTTGGGATCTCACATGCTTTTGATACCTTCTAACTTCCCTCCCCACCCAGGCCAGACCTTCTGGATTTTGAGTCACTGAGGAAGTGTAATGCTCACTACAATCTGCAG